ATAAAATAAACTTGAAAAAAGAAATAAAGTACTAATTCATGCTACACATAGATAAACCTTAAAAAACTGCTAAGTAAAATGTTAGACAGTGGTGGCACACACCTTTAATCCCAGCACTCAGGAGGCAGAGGCAGGGATTAAAGGCGTGCGGATCTCTGTGAGTTCAAGGCCAGCCTGGTCTATATACTGAGTTCCAGGACAGCTGGAGCTACACGGAGACCCTGTCTCAAAAAGACCAAAAAAAAAAAAAAGTTAGACAGTGAAGACTATATAGTATACAATTCTTGATATATATGAAAAATTATATATAAAATGCCCTGAATAGACAAATTATATAGGCAAATCGTATAGATACAAACAGGTTAGTGCTTACCAGAGACAAGGGGTGGGATGGGACTTGGGGGGGAGAAGTGGAAAGTTATTGCTTAGTAGGTACAGAGTTGTTTTGGAGTGATCAACCACAAGTTGATTAACACATAGGCCTTTGGGGACATCTGAGATCCAAACTACAGCAGAAAAACAGGAAAGAGAATAGTAATCAGATGCTTAATTGAAGTTCTGTGTGTAGAACTGATACGATTATACCAGTTGCTTCCTTCTTTCCCCAAGCCTATACCATTACTGTAAATTACCAACAGCTTTATCAATCAACTCCACCCCCAGCCCAGACTAAAGCAAGGATGTACTCTCTTCCTGAGAAGGACTAGCAAGTAGTAGAGTTACTGGTGCCCCAAGTAAATTCATCTTTATTTTATACACATGGGGCAGAGAGGTACAGCCTAGGCTTCTTCTCCTGAGGGGAACTGGTAAGTACACACAGATAGTTGTCCAGAACTCAGAGCTCAATATCTGCTTCACATCAGGGAGAGGCCAGTTATGGAAGTCAACAAATAAAGGAAGAGGTAGTTACCCCAGCCACCTGGGCTCATTAAGGCTTTTATTCACAAATGCAAGTAGAGCTAGAAAATTGCTAGGCCATTGAGAAAAACCAATATTAGCAAAGAAGACATAAGATAAACAGAACAATTGATTCTTGGATGAAACAAAGAGAAGTGAAGAGAATTTTAAGTTATTTTAAAATTAATGTTCTAAAACAGATTTAGGAAGACACTGTATCTTTTCAACAGGTGGCTTTTTTAAAAGTATATTCAGAAATGAAGAATTCTTATTAATTGCTGACTGGTAAAATAAAGTTTCAATAGGATAACAGAAAGAAAGAATTGGAAAAATCTCCTAGAACATAGAGGAAAAGAAAAATAAACATTTAAAGGAGAATAAAAGAGAGAAATTGAGGCGGAAACTCCATCAGAGAACTCCACAAAAGAAATTCTAGAGATGGAATTTCAAAGTTAAAAGAAAGGAAATGCAAGAGCAATCTATGAAAATTTCCCAGAGACAGCAAAAATCTGAGCCTTTAGTTTGAATGACCTACTGATCTATGAAGTCAGATTCTTATGAAATTTCAAAATATAAAGAATAAAAAGCATCTAGGGGCTGGAGAGATGGCTCAGTGGTTAAAAGCACTGGGTGTTCTTGCAGAGGACCCAAGTTCAAGTCCCGGCACCCACATGGAAGCTAACAACTGACCCTAACTCCAGTTCCAGGGGACCCGACACCCTCTTCTGGGTTTTGCATGACACGGGTACACTAACATACATGTAGGCAACACACTCATACACATATAATAAAAATAAAAATTTAAAAAAAGAATAAAGATCATCTAGCAAGGATAATAGAAATAAGACTTCCTAGTAGCACAAGATTCTGGAGAACAATATAGCACAATTTTCAGAGCTTAAAAAAAAAGGAAGTTAGAATTCCCTAAGCATATGAGTATTTTTAGAATGTCAAGAGACTTTGCTATTACTCTTTCTGAAAATTTTATTTGAAGATGCTCTCCTGTAGAAGGGATTCAAGAAATGTGAGCACACTAATCCTCTAATGTTTACAGACAAGCACCAAAAGTAGAATTTAAAATTAGTTATAAAGGTGACAAGTAGAAAAAATGTTTTGGAAAAAAACAATTCAAGCTGGGTGTAGTGGTCCACAGCTTGCGTTTAGTATCAGTTCTGAACACAGAATTTCAATTAACCTTCCAAACTCTGTCCTGTTTCCAGTTTCTTCCTCTCATTTTTTTAAGTCTTTCTTTTAAAATGTTTTTTTCCCTTGAGATGGAGTCTCCCTGTAGCCCCAGATGATCTGGAACCTGCTGTGTAAACCAGGCTGGCCTCAATCTCAGAGATGTCTCTGCGTCCCAAGTGCACCACCACACCTGGCAAAACTTTTAGTTTTGATTTATTTAAGAGAGTGGAAGGAAACAAGAAAATATTAACCTGGAGTTTATCAGAATGATATAATTATCAGTGGATTTGATTTTCTTCTTATTTCTCTGGAGTGTCTAAACTTTCTACAGTAACCATAGATTCCTTTTTCATCACTAGAAACTTGCACACATTTGTATCAACAACAAGAAAATATTATGGTTATGTAATGATTTACTAAGTCTTTAATACTCTTTTGACTTTGATCTCTGATTCATTAGCATTCAATCAGTGACTTTATTTTATTTTATTTTTTATGTGTACGAGTGTATTGCTTGCATGTATGTGAGTGTACCCATGTTGTGCAATGCTGAGGACGTCAGAAAAGGGCTTCGGATTCCCCTGGAACTGGAGTTAAGGACAGTTTGTAGCCACTGTGTGGGTGCTGGGAATTGAACCCAGGTCCTCTGCAAGAGCAGTCAGTGCTCTTAACCGCTGAGCCAACTCTCCAGCCCAACAGTGACTTTATTACATCTCTATAAAGAAATATATCCCCTTGGTATTAAAAAAGGGACTCTTATTTGGTCATATTCACTACCTCCCCACTTATGCAAGGCCTTCTTTTTCTCAGTGCTTTATGAATACCGAGGCACTCTGGTTAAAATTACTCATTATTCATGGGGCCTACTTCTACCACTTCCCTAACAGAGAGGATATTTTTCATGGACTTAATCCACCCAGAAGCCCTGCCTATTACCGGACAGCCATTTTTGTTAGAATTTTCTTCTATCAACTTAGTTAAAATCTGAAATAACCTCCATTCTTTTGATCTTGTTTACTGAAATGTTTCAGAACAAGTTAGGCAATTTTCTGTTACAGTTCTGCAAATATTCCCAGATCTTATTCCTGGATCAATATCAAGTTTATTCTTGTTGCACCTCTCATGCTGAATACAGCATTTCCACAGCTTTTAAATCCAATTCATTCAATTACCTAAGCTCTCTGTGTCCTTTACTGAAAATACATCTTTAAACAAACAAACCTGGGGAGTCAGTTACATTTGGTCAAGCAGGTGGACTGAGTCCAGTTGAGATAAATCCCATACTGATGACCAAACAACTGCAGCAATACCAACTCAGGTGAGTCAGAGAGGGAAAACAGCTGAAATGCAGAGAGAAGAGGAAGCTGAGAAGTAAAAACAAGTTGAAGATTGAGCAGAGAAGGTTCTCATTGAAGTGAATTTTTACTTCATAATGAATTATTTTTTATTATTTGAGAGGAGAAATCAATTATTCTGAGAAGTAGTTAAACCTATACCTGTCACCCTCTGAATAGGGACCAAAATTTTTAAATATAAATTACAAATGGGTCTCCAGACTAGATTAGGATGGATAGGTTTGGGGGGGTAACTATCCCATTGAGTTTTTTTCTCTACAGAGATTTGTATTTTTAAGTTAAACATAATGTTTAAACAGAGTGCTAACTCTATATTCATATAATAGAATAATGTTCAGCCATAAAAAGGAACAACATCCTGAAAATACAAGGATAAACCTTGAAAACATTGTGCTAAGAGAAGCAGTTGTAAAGGACCATGTAGTGAATGGTTATATTCATACGAAATGCTTAGAAGAGGCAATCTCTAGAGACAGCAAGTAAATTAGTGTTGTTGAGGAGTAAGAAAGAGGGACAGATACAGGCTAAAGGATTTATTTTCAAAGGACTGAAAGTGTTTTAAAATTGACTGTGGTGATGGTTGTACATATCCATGGATATACTAAAAAACTGAATTGTATTTATGGGAGAATTTATGGTATGTGAATCATATCTCCAAAATTGTTCTTAAAAAATTGTCAAATTTTAGTGGAATGGGATACTGATTTGCACACTGCTGATCCTCTTCTCGAAAACTCAAGAAAGATGAAAGAAGCCTCCTAAAGTAATTGACAATAATCACAAGATCTGACTCATCTGCAAAGGTACTGAAGCATGATGTTGAATGTTTAGAGTCTAACATATACTTGACTCAAACCCTACTACTAGGATGCATTTGATAACAACATTAAGATAGACAAACAGACAAAAATCAAGCAAAAGAAGCAGATGGTAGATTTTATAAGTAATTTCACAGCCTTCCAAGACAGATTCCTGAGTTATCTGGGGCTGGCTGGGAGCTCCTCCCCTCATTCTTCCTGGGCTCTGTGATATGCCTGTACCCTTTCCATTACTTCCCTACTCTGGCTTGTCACTACCCATACTAACCCTCCCTCCACTATGAACGATCTGCTGACTGTTGCAAAACTTTGGAAAAAGCTATTTTAGATCTAAGCTTTGGGAGATAAGTCATGTTTAGATTGCCTGCATGGTACAAAACAATTCATTTGAATCTCATGTTAGGTGCCAATTGAATTATAATATCTTGATTTATTCGAACAGCTTAAAGACAGATGATCCAGTGTTCACTTCTCAAGGGCAGAAAAGATAATGCCAAATTGACTTATCATTTGTGCTTAGGGACCCTAATATTTGTAAGAATAAAGAGTCACTATTCTTTCACAAAAACCAAAGGTACTTTGACTAAGAAGTATGACAATGGGGTCAGTGTATGGATCTTCCTGAGACAGCAGTACTGTTAAAGCTGATTAGAGACTGGGACAAAGACGTTAACACCCCTCCCCAAGGAAATGCCTCTACTGTGCACCATGGAATTAGAGTTTGAAAATAGTAGGGTTACTGTACCTGCTTAGCAAGGTAGAATTTAGTTATAGAAGATCTCTTGGTTCTGGATCTATAAACATGGAAAAGCTGCCAAGGGGCCAAAAGCCAAAGAAAGCCCAAGGGAATCCACACAAGAACAGTTTGTTCAAAGCATAGTGGCAGGTCCGCTTCTGGTCTATCCAGGAATGAGGAATTCTGGGGGACCAAAAGGGAAAGATTGTTGGATAGATGCATTTTTAAAAGGCAGCCTATTCTCCCAACATCCCCCACATGCTTCCAAACTAATTCAATTTCATGTCTCTAACAAGCCTTGCTTTTCATCTATCTGTAGTTTCCTGCTCACCATCATTCATATAACATATTACATTAATACACATTCACTGTTTAATAACATTTAGTGGCTTTTCTCACAAACCCAATCTCTAAAAACTTATCTGCCTGTGATTTTAAGTGAATTTCTATCCTGGCTATTCTGAGTAAAACACATTACAACACTCAACAAATTATATGAAGAAGAAAGACTATTTCTCATTCCAAAGGGGAGAATAGTTCACTGGGTGTAAGAACTTGTTAGTTTCTAACACTATCTAAACTCACTAGTAGATGTTCTAACATGCAGTCACCAGACAGGCAGAGTGCTTAGTCATACCATGACATTTAGCCTATTGTGGTCAAACTTATGTCAAAACCAAGGGGGTCTGGTACATTGTGGCACAGGAGTGGCAAGGGCACTATTGGATAGAAAGCTTACTCTAAGTATGTTTTACATGAGGCTTTGCATGCCGTAATAAATGGAAGTGTCTTATGGAGTGGGATGGGGCACCAGTTCCTATATCTGAGTCACGTGAAAGTAGATTTTTCTTTTTTCCATACATTTAAATTCTTTCATATAACTATTGGTACAGACTCTTCAAAGAAAAGGTTAAAGTGCTCGACAAGATGATTTGTTGGACAATTCTCAGAGACAAGAGATGGCCTGCTGCCTTCTAGGGGTATCCATGTCCTGGCTTCAAGGACCTTGGTGCCTAAGTTCTTCCTAACGTATAAGGACTGCTGTTGTGCTCTGCAATTCCATTCCTTTTCCTCTCATTGCTATGGAAAGCCACCAAACTTTAGACTTCAGAAGAGTCACCTAACATATTTGAATTTTGTTAATCATCCCAGTTGAAATGGATGCTAGGAGTTTGCAGACAATACTCAGAACCACTAAGTACAAGGTCTCATCCCACTCTCCATCCCACTAAGCCATTTGGAAGTGTTGATTGTACTCTTCTTGTTCATCCTCCAAATACTCGACCCTTTTTCAGTGGTGCGTCTTCCTTTCTTTCTCTAAAAACAGTATTGCCTAATTCTAGTTGTTAAAAATTATCTTAATGCTTGTAATGCCCAAATTTATAATCCTGGTCCCAATTCACAGTCCATACCATCAGCGGCCAGCATCTCTAGAACTTATTATCATTTTAACATCAACACATCCCAAGAGAATTCAGACATGGGCCTTTCTCCTCTTTCTTCTATACAAAGTGTAAAATAACAAATTTGCATTCTTAACACTGAAAAATTGCATTTTTTCCCTCTATTTCTCTAATAGAAGGCTATTTTGAAGCTAGTTAGTCCAAGAAAATAGTCTGGGATACAATAAACATATGTTAAAGAATAAGTTATATTATATTTCCCAGATGATATATCCTCTGAAAACACTATTTTCTTTTCTCTAAAAACCTGGACTTGAGACCAACTGAGTGGCAGCCACTCTTATGTAATCTGTCCCTGTCTGAGTTTGAGAAAAGTAACCAAGAGAATAAATATAATTTCTCACCCAAAAAGTAGAGTTGCAGAACTCCTCCATGACTATTCCCTGAGCACTTCTGGAAAGATTTTTCTGTGACTTTGTTTCTTCTTTAATCTTTTCCTCAAAGAAAGCAGGTGTTGAGTAGCAATGTGCCTTTTCCCCTTCAATGTCCCAATTAAAGGCAGGGCCCCTGACCTTTCATCCTAACAACTTAATAGTTAACCTTGTTGGATGCATGCTTAACTCATCCCAGTGGGTAGCCATGTGACTGAGGCTCTCCAGGAACAGACTTGCCAACTCCCCACAGCCTCTGTAATATGGCCATAAATAGAAGGAACCAATGAAAGATGTTAGTATAGTTGACTAGTAAGCCAGGAATGTAGCATGCTTTCATTCTCCTGAGTACAATTACCCAAAAAGCATCAATAGAGGGATATGCATCCATAAACATGGAGTTTCACTTATGTTTGAACTTTAATAAGAGTTTACAGAAATGAGAAATATTAATTCCTCTGGATTTTTAATTAAGAACATATAAAGCATGATTTAAAGGAGTACAAACTTTGTTTGAAAAGGTCAGGTTATAAAAGAGCATGGGCAATATAAAAAGTTGGGTACAATTTAGATAATTAATCTAGCTGATAGGATTGTAGGTAAGGTTTATTTTCCTTTCTGCTTTTCCAAATTTTCTGATTTTTCTGTAATTATCAGATATGATTCATATAATAATATTTTAAAGGCACATAACAAAATTTATCACGTTGGCCATTTCTAAGCATATAATTCAGTAATGTTAAGTGTATTCATATTGTTAGCTAATCTCCAGAACTTTCCACGTCACAAAACCGAAATTCTATGTCAGTTTCCCACTATTTCCTCTCTCCAGTAAAGCACAGTTATTTTAATACAGAGCACCCTAAAGCAACAATAGCAAGTCATACCCAATTGGAGGATCATGTAGAACCAACCTTTTTGGTTATCAAAACAAAAGCAAACATAGTTCTGAAATTGTACAGGACAATTCATTTATAATATATTATTTCAATAAACAAGAATATATTAATTTGTTGATATTATCATCAAAATGGTTGTCTCCCACTCTCCAAAAATCATGTAAAGAGATACAGCAAATATACAAGGACAGTAGATATATAAGAAACTAGTTTAACTTGTTTAAGCACAATAGTTTTTCATGACTTTCCTAATAATACCTAAATACATTAATATCTGTTTGGAAAATACTAAGTTAGAGCATGGGTAGACAAAATATAACTAAATTTTTTTTTGGTCTTTTTGAGACAGGGTCTCCCTGTAGCCCCAGCTGTCCTGGAACTCACTATGTAGACCAGGCTGGCCTTGAACTCACAGAGATCCGCCTGCCTCTGCCTCCCAAGTGCTGGGAATTAAAGGTATGTGCCACCACTCCAGGCTAGATAATTTCAATCTAAAACTTTCTTCAGTGAGATTATATCATCTTAAAATAAGATATAACTCTTATTAGAAAATAACTTCTATGTTTTCCTATGTGTCTATAGCAGTGTTAAAGTGATTTAGTCCTTGTGATAAGATCAGATCCAGGGTCAGATGTGGACAAAATATCAATATAATGCCAAATTGGAGAGAAGTCATTTTCAGGTACTGTAAATATGTTATAATAAAACATCAGAGCAGAGGAGAGGGATGACTCTGAGTATAGAGTGCTGACTGTCACTAGAAACTGTAACCAATAGAATCTTCTATATTGCCACTTACATTGTTTTAAGAACCAAGCATTATGTCTCCCATGATATAGTTAAAAAGGAGATTTAAATTTCCACCAATGAGTATCATAGCTGAAAAAGTTGAACATAAACCTGCTCAAACTCTTAAGTTCACAGTTTTTGTGAAAAAGTGTGTTATTTTCTCTTTCCTGTGACCAAATACCTGACAAGAAGCAACTTAAGGACGGAGGTGTGCTACTTTGTTTTTGTCAACAACACAAACTAGAGACATCTGGGAAGAGGGACTCTCAGTTGAGGAATTTCCTCCAATAGATTGGCTTTTGGCCATGTCTCTGAAACATTTTTTTTAAATATTTTATTTATTATTTTTATTTTATGTGTATTCATGTATTGCTTGCATGTAGGTAAGTGCACCCATGTCATGCAATGCCTTCGGAGGACAGAAGAGGCTGTTGGATCCCCTGGAACTGGAGTTAGGACAGTTAACTGCTATGTGGGTGCTGGGATTTGAACCCAGGTCTTCTGCTAGAACAACCAGTGTTCTTACCTGCTGAGCCATCTCTCCAGCCCCGTGAAACATTTTCTTAATTATTAATTAATGCAGGAGGGTCCATCCCCTGTGGGCATGCCATCCTTGAGCAGGTGGACCTGGGCTATGTAAAGAGCATAACTGAGCAAGCCAGGGAAAACAGTAAGCAACTTTCCTCTGTGTTCTCTGTTTCAGTTTCTGCCTCCAGGTTCCTGTTTTGGAACCAGGATGATGGACTGTTAGCTGTAAGCCAAATAAACCCTTTACTAAGTTGCTTTTGGTCATGGTGTTGATCATAACAACAGAAAAGTAACTAGGACAGAATGGTTTATTTTGGTTAACAGTTTAAAAGATACAGTCTATCATGGCAAGAAAGGGATGGCAGCAGTAGCCTGAGTGGGTGGTCACATTGAAACCTTAGTCAGAAAGCAAAGAGAGGAGAGGAAGAACAGCCAGGCTGTAAGACCTCAAGGCCTGCCCCTATTGACTCACTGTTCTATCCATTTTCTTGCAAATGACATAATTTCATTTTTCTTTATGGTTGAATAATACTCCATTGTGTATATATACCATCTTTTCTTTATTCGTTCATCTGTTGATGGGCACTGAGACAGATTCCATTAAAGTAACTATTGGGATCAGTGCCACAAAGAACATGGGGACACAGATGTATCCATTGTATGTTGATTTGGATTCCTTTGGGTATGTATCTAAGACTGGTAGAGCATGATCACATAAGAGTGCATTTTATTTTTTTAAAAAACATCCATATTGACTTCTATAGTGGCTGTACAAATTTACATTAACATTAATAGTATTACTATATGGGGTCTCCCCTCAGTCCACCCTCACATCCGTACTAGCATTTATTTTCTTGATAATAGTCATTCTGACTTGAATGACATGGAATCTCAATGTAGTTTTGATTTGCATGTCCCTGATGGATAAGTATGTTAAGCATTTTTTAAAAATTATGCATAAAGGGGCTAGAGAGATGGCTCAGTGGGTTAAGAGCCCTGACTGCTCTTGCAGAGGACCCGGGTTCAATTCCCAGCACTCACATGGCAGCTACGAACCGTCCTTAACTCCAGTTCCAGGGGAATCTGAAGCCCTCTTCTGACATCCTCGGCATTGCACGACACAGGTGCACTCACATACATGCAGGCAATACACTTGTATACAAAAAGTAAAAATAATATTTAAAAATATGTTTAAAAAATTTTATGCATATGAGAGTTTTGCCTGCATGTATGTAAGGGCATTGATGTGGATGCAATATCCACAAAAGTCAAAGAGGGCATCGGATTCCTTGGAACTGGAGTTATAGATAGTTGTTAGTCACCATGTGGGTGCTGGGAATTGAACCCAGGTCCTCTGCAAGAGCAGCCTGTGCTCTTAGCTCTTGAGCCATCTCTCCAGTCCATGTTGAGCACTTTTTTCATATATTAGCCATTTGTATTTACATTTTTGAGATCTATTCAATTTACTTGCCCATTTATTGATTACATTATTTGTTGTTTTGGTGTTTGTTTTTTTAATTCTTCATATAGTCTAGACATATATCCCTGGCAGATGAATAGCTGATAGATTTTCTCCAATTCTGTAGGCTCATTCTTCACTTTGTGGAGAAACTTTTCAATTTCACTTGTCAGTTCTTGCTATTATGTCCTGAGGTATTGTAGTTCTCTTCAGAAGGTTGTTGACTATGCTTTTATCTTGAAGCATTTTCCCATTTTCCCCTAGTCAGTTCCTATTTTGCATTAAGATCTTTGATCCCTTTTGAATTGATTTTTGTGCAGACTGAGAGATAAAGACCAGTTTCATTCTTCTACATATGGATATCTAGTTTTCCCAGCACTATTTGTTGAAGAGGCTATCTTTCCTCCAATGCATGTTTTTGGTAAATTTGTCAAGAATCAATGGCTATAACTGCATGGGTCTATTTACGTTTTATCCCATTGGTCTGGGTATCTGTTTCTCTACTGGTACCATATGGTTTTGTTTCTATGGTACTGTGAAATCAGGTACCAGGATACTGCCAGTATTGCTCTTTTGGCTATTTGGGGTCTTTCGTGCTTTCAAATGAATTTTTTCCCCATTTTTTGAACAATGTCGTTGGAATTTTTATGGGTATTGTATTAAATCTACAGATTGTCCTTTTGGCAATATTAATTCTACCAATCCATGATTTTGTGTTTTAAAGTTTTTATTATAGAGGTCTTTTGCCTCCTTGGTTAGGTTTATTCCTAGGTTTGGGGAGTTTGTTTTTAGGCTACTATGAATGGGACTGTTTCCTTGATTTCTTTCTCAGCATATTTGATACTAGTATACAGAAGAACTACTGATTTTCGTATGTTGCTTTTGTATCTTGCTACTCTGCTGAAAGTGTTTACTGGAGCTAAGAAATTTCTGGTAGAATCTTCAGTGTATTTTTAAAATTATTTATTTAATAACCACATACTTAGAAGAAGCATTTCATTACAACAGCATTGACATTTTCAATAACAATTTCCTGAGCTAAGATGCATCTCTTTCATAATTGGCTGTAAATTTTTAGGTTCACAGTTGAATTATTACAGTTATATAATATTGTACTTAGTATAAACCTTATAAAACATAACATTAAATGAGGTTTTAACCCTTAAAAAAGATCTCCATTTCATTATTAAAATACAGAGTTTCATATAGAAAAATTCATTTTTAGTGCAATTGACATTAAAATGTTTGCACATGACTTTCTAATATCTATGCATCAGATTATTACTATTCACAGTCACTTACTTTCTGAGCTCCTTGGCATCTGAGCATGGATATAAAGTCATCAGGTAGATTTCAATG